CCATGATAGCTGTGGAGGACTTATCTGTCTTGTCCTTTAGTGCTGCGTTACTGGGATGCATATTTTTGCCAAAATCTACATCATTGTTTGCTGGGCCGACCTCAACCACAGGGAGCAACTCACAAAGAGAAATTAGTATAACGTGATTTTTCTGGCCCAGAGAAATTAGTGACAAAAAAGAATAAAGCACTACATAAATATAGTAAGAACTGTTTTTGTCAGTTTATTAATGTGTATTGAGCATACTATTATATGATAGCAGGTTTAAATATTTTAGAGCTCTTGAAATGTAGAATGTATTGAGTTTGTGAATCCTGTACATTTAACCTTTTATCATATATTAATAATATGGGAAATGTAGTTAAATGAAATGTATTCTTCCTTCTGTCTCATCCTTCATTCAAAGTGTATGCTAGTGAGACCTGGACAGTGTACAGGAGGCACGTTAGGCAACTGAATTACTTCCACATGACTTGCCTTCGTAGAATTCTGAGGATCCGGTGGCAGGATAAGATACCAGATACAGATGTCCTCTCCAGAGCAGGCCTATCATCAGTTTACACTCTGTTGATGAAAGCCCAGATGCGCTGGGCAGGCCACGTTGTAAGGATGCCAGACCATCGCATCCCTAAACAGCTCTTATATGGTGAGCTGTCTCAAGGAAAGCGATCGCATGGGGGACAAAAGAAGCGATACAAAGACACGCTGAAAGCATCTCTCAAGTCCCTGGATATCGACACCATCTCTTGGGAATTTTTGGCGCATGATCGACCGACATGGCGTACCCTGGTTTACCAGGGGTGCCAGACACATGAACACAGGAGGACAATCTTGGCACAAGAGAAGCGAGCACTCCGTAAAGCCAGATCTGCAAATGCTGAAGCAACAGTGTCCACATTTCTCTGTTCAGTATGTGGCAGAACATTCCGTGCTAACATCTGTCTAATCAGCCATCTACGGACACACCGTTGATGGCCCACAATCCACAAGATGTCAAGGTCTTCATCGAAATCGATGGATGAATAACAACATGCTGACTAATGTCCATAACAAAGAGTGATTTGAATGGGTTTACAATAAGAAGTGTGGCATTTTTCAAGAAAATCACCTAAAATTCAGCACAAATCCTAGAAAAAATGTACAGCCCTCTCTGATATAGGGAGGGACTTCAAACATGAAAAAATCCAAAGGAAAATTTGAATATTCACTTGATGTTGATAATAGATAGGTATATAAGTATGTAGGTGGAAAAGTAGATAGATAGATAGACAGACAGACAGACAGACAGACAGACAGACAGACAGACCCTATGGACAGGGAAAGTGGCCCAAGTTATAGTGAACATGCAACCCTAATTGAGATAGAAACCTGTTACTCTGGACTACTCTGCAAGTGATACTTCCCCTGTTCTCATCATTGGTGGCATGATGTCACACATACTTTACCAGTTTTATATGTAGCACCACCGGCGGGGGGACCACAAAAGTCTTGGCCCTCTTGGCTCCCTCTTCAGCTGGCTGCCGACCCAAGGGGTCTCTTACATTGGAACATCTGCCTGACAGGGCACTTGGCATGGTGATGTTCAATCACAGTTGTCAGCCATGCCCATGGGGTGGTGATGGTTGATCTCTTTTGATGGTAACTCACGTGGGATGATGATAGTTGACCTCAGACAGTAAGACTTACAGGAGACGATGTTAGTCAGGTCCTGGTCCTGGTAAAAGAAGCTGGTATACAACAGTAGTAGTCAGTCCCTAGTAACAGCAACCTGCTTAGGACAATGTTAGCCAGTCTCTGATAGTATCAGCTTGCCTAAGATGATGGTAGCCAGTGTCTGGTGACAGCAACTTGTCTAAGCCAATGGTTGTCAGTCTCTGGTGACAGTGACTTGTCTAAGCCAATGGTAATCAGTCTCTGGTAACAGTGACTTGCCTAGAGCGATGGTAGTCAGTATCTGGTGACAGCAACTTACCTAAGATGATGGTAATCAGTCCCTCTCTGAAGCTCACAGGGGACCACCTTGATCCACTTTCCTTGTCTCTCTCTGCCCTCACTATATGTAATCCCCCATCCCTTCCTTATCCCCTTTTTATTTCCACAAGCTGATCCTATAAAAACTCCTCTACTTCCCACTAAAAGACATACCCTCAACCCGGTCAAACTCTTTCCTGACTCTCCCTCCGCCCAGCTGGCTCCAACAAGGGAAAAGAAATAAAACTCTCCAACCTACTCTCTCTTTGTCTGGCCTGCCGCAATGAAGAAAAAACAATAAAAACTTCAGGAAGCTACTCTCGCTCTCTATCCCCCCTCTTTGTCCGGCTTGCTTACAACAAAGCAGAAAAACACAAAGACTCCACCTTCTTACTCTATCTCTATTTCTTCACTCAGCTGGCTCTGGACGGCAGGCTCCATTAAGCTACTCTCTTTCTCTTCCTCAGCTGGCTCTTCTCGATGTCCAGCCAAACATCACCTTCTAGTCTCTTTCTCTCTTCTCACTCAGCTGGCTCTGTTCAACATGCAGCCAAACACCACCTTCCAGTCTCTTTCTCTCTCCTCTCCCATCAGCTTCCTCCTCCCTTTTCTTCCCTCCTCAGAGCCACACCCTGCCACCAGACCCACAGCAGTTGCCGGAGTTCCCGCAAAATCTCTCAGCTGGCCCCACTCTCACCCCAGCTCCGCTACATATAAATTGAAATTTAAGGAACATCCTTGAATAAAACCTTATGAAACAGCATTGTATGGAGTTTTATTTATTTATTTATTTATTTATTCATTTCACAGAATTTTTATGGCCTCCCACTCACTGTCAATGTCATGGTTCTGATAGATGAGCCCAATAGAAAAAAGGACTCCAAGGCAATTGCTTTCCTCAAAGAGCATTTTTAATGGCTACATAGTATCAGCATGAACAAAGGTGAAACCAAGACTAAAGTTCCCTTCCCCCAAAGTTACAAAGTTACAAAGATGAACTTCCCACCCCATTTCTATGTCA